GATGAGTGAATGTGATCTCTGTACACTGCATCTTGTAATTGAAGTGATCTATGAAATAAGATGATGGCACTCAATGTCATGTTCATTTCAATGGAATCCACTCTCCAGCAACATTCTTCTTAAGTTAATTTGTACTCAGAATGAATCAACTCACTCACAATCAGTGAATATTATGTGTTTGAATGGAGCACTTTTCATCAATTTGTAATTACTACTAATTAGGCAGGCAAAAATGACAATAAAATTTGTATTGATTATTGTTCCGGATATTGTTAAAATTTACTAAGTAGTAATTCTTTGTGGAAAAAAAGTTAACTCCTCTGATCACTTTTTTGTAGCACATCATCAGATTTATTCATATTAAGCAGATGATCCTTCCAAATGAATCGTTGCTCGTTGGAAGTGAAATGTTTTTGAATTGTTTTCAAGCAAACATTCAATCATCTTATTTCGAATGATTTATTCACCTTATTAGCTTTTTTTTGGATTTAAGCCTGTCTGTAGAACTGAAAATGATATTTCTAGGCGATGGAGGTATTGAGACGGTCCCTTTGTGTCAGCAACACAGTCCCAGTCTTGCACTCTATGAGGTAAGTGATTTCTTGTGAATATCTTCAGAAATTGTTGATTGGTGGTGCAGTTCTCATTGAGAGATCAAACAGTTGCAATCGTAGTTTTTTGACATTCTCAATTGAATACCAGTGGTGGTTGGTTCTTCGAGAATTTGAACAATTTTGGGAAACTATTCAAGTAAAAGTTTTGCGATCAGTGTTTTTTATCTATCTTGAGATGTATTATGAAGAAATGTTTAGGAAGAGTACAATACGCAAGGACAGAAGATTGGACAAATGTTGCGGTCATTATCGTTGTATAATGCAGTCATGCAAAATCCTGAAGAGACTGAACCCAATCCAAAAACGGCCAAAAAGGTGAGAATCTCAGGCATAGTTTCTTTGGCCTTCTATGACTGCCACCTATCGAAATCGTTACTCATGAACCAAACGCCTTTATCTACGCTTTTAATCGCGATTACTATTTGGCGTAAAAAATTCTTCCTTGTTCACAATCTAATCATCTTTTCACTTTACAATTATCGACTCTCAAGCAGTTGGTGAATGCAAATGATAATTATGTTCGAATGCATTTGTAATTGGTGACGAAATTGAGTCTGTTTTCCTGAGAAAATGATATAATCCATGACGTTGACCGTTTAATTGCATCTTGAGAGGCATTATATTGCGTTTCGCAATTCAGCCGTTTTGCTTTCTCAAGATATTTTTAGTCAATTCACGTTAAGGGATCTAAGGTCTTTTAAACAAAATCTCCTCCAGCATTTTCATTTGTTACATGAAAGTGGTACGAAAAACATGTCAAATACCTATCTTCAAAAGAATCAGCAACAGAAAAATGTTTCTTTTCACTGACTAAGAAAAGTTAGCAAATCCTTCGTGTGGAAAATGAACAAATGAAATGCACAGAATACAATGCGATTTTTTTCAGGTAGCCCAAATGGGCACCATAATCGGTGTGTATTTACCGTGTATGCAAAACATTTTTGGTGTGTTATTTTTTATTCGTTTAACTTGGATCATTGGAACGGCTGGCGTTGTACAAGCGTTTTTCGTTGTTTTGACGTGTTGCTCTGTGGTGAGTCAGTTTCATTGTTAGCATTACTCTTCTTGTTTAGAGCAGCTTAAATGCGGACCGAACTTGTTGTTGATCATGTTCCCCAGTTGACTGTTTATGCCTTTTCAATTGATTCAGTTTCTCCGGTTTGATTTCGTTAGTGCAGTTTCGGTCATTTCAAAACTGCAATGAAATAAGTGATTGGGTTTAATGGGATTAAAAGTAGTAAAAAATCGTTATGACGAAGACACATTGAGTAGAACGCAAGCGATGCAAAAGATATCAAAGTGATAAAAGTTGCTCAAAACAGTTGGCAACAAAAAATCTCTTGATAAGTAATAGGCAAAAACGTTACGATCGAATTGACGCAAATTATTTTCAATCATTCAATTACACATCTATTTTGACGTATTACTGTAAATGAACAACACCATGTTGATGTAATGCGGTTAGCGCGATTAATCAAATGAACTGCATCTAAAAGCTCTATCTTTTTAATTTCATGCCTAGCCCCAAATTTCCTTCCGTTTTCTCTTTACTAATCAAATTTGCAAGTCGCTTGCTAATAAGTTCAATGATCATGTGTTATTATGCATTCATTTCCTGTTTTTTTTTCACATGTTCAGCTTAATTCTATCAGATACATTTCAGTGTATTCTTAATTTTTTGGCATTCCAAAGAGTCTTCGTGAAATAATTTTTTATTCTATCAGAATACCATCTTTCTACAACTTACTTTGTGAAATGGATCAAAATTTGTTGAAAGAAGAGTTGTGATTCAAATTTCGGTTTGCGTCATCCACATAACCGTTTAAACGATTTCAGACTTTCCTGACATCGATTTCCTTATCAGCAATCGCAACCAATGGTGTTGTACCGGGTGGAGGGCCGTATTATATGATATCACGGAATTTAGGTCCTGAATTGGGTGGTGCAGTTGGTATTCTCTTCTTTTTGGGTACCACAGTTGCTGCGTCCATGTATATCACCGGTGCTGTTGAGATTCTCATTGTGAGTCTAAATTCAATTTTAATTCGATAATAATTTTTTCAAAAATCAACCAGTATACTTGTTATTATCACCAAAGACAACTCTGAATTCTCATATAAGGTTTCCCCAAACGAGTCTAGCTTAAGGATTCAGTTTGATGTCGCGCGAGCGATTCATTTCACTAATAATTGTCGAGTTTAACTGATCCATCGTTATGTTATTCATTTGTGCATAGTATAAATTCCATTTGTATCATTTGGATCACGTAATTCCATCAAAATAGTTCCATCGGCAATTTTCTTCTTTGATTTACTGAAATCGGCAAAATTTCAGCTGTATTTGTTTCCAGCAGCTAAAATATTCGACAACATTTATCATTGTTTTCGAGTTCATGGCACTTGTCTTCTCATTATTCTCGGTCTTATTGTGTTGGCCGGAGTTAAGGTTTGTTCATTACATCTTTACGCAGTGGTACAAAACATTTCAGAGAATTTCCACTCATTGAGAGTGAATTTCATCGTTGTGTAGTCCACTTAAATATGGATTATTGTCGAGAGCAACTTCGATCATTAGCAACGTCGTTGACATTACCTCTTGTTGCTCTTCTAGATGATTACGGAACAAATATTACAATTCCCTATTCGTTCCTATTAATCCTATTTATTTTATGGTTTTGCATTCATTTTTCTTATCAGTTCCCAAATGACAAACAAGACAGTGAAATGGGAACATTTCCTTGTTCAAAATCCTTTTTGAATCGAAAATTTTATTAATGCGAACAGTTTTGACTTATTATTTGTTATGCATAGTCCAATAATTCGTTCTCTTACGACGATTTTCATGAATGGAATCAGCTCAAATTAATTCACTATTGCATTTTCAGGTGGTGAACAAGTTCGCGCTGCCTGCCGTTTTTGTTGTTTTAACGTGTATTTTATGCACTTTCATCGGTGTTTTCGTCAAACTGAATGGCTCAGATTCGTTGAAGTTAGTCACCGTTGATCGAATTCATTACTTAACCGCAAATATTTTCACGCCATCTGAATTCAGTCGCAGCAATCGGATTTTCTCCTTGTTCACCTAAAAATTTGAAATCTGTTGTTCACCTAATGTCGCCAGTAATACTGCTGGAGTATTATCTGAATGTTGAGATATATGGTTTGAATGTTCAAATTCTTCAAAATTGGTAGAACCGATTGTTTTCCTGGAATGACTTCACCTGAAAATCGCTCAGATATGTGCAGTTTAGATATTGTATGGTTGGTGATCGCCCAGTGGATTTGGTGTCGTTCAATGAAAAGTTTCACTATGTACCGAATTGTACTGCTGAAGCATTGGAACCACTCTTTTGTACGGTCCTAAACGAAACGTCAATGCAGTGCGAACCGTACTTCGCGCGGATGGCACGTATTCCCAACTGGAAGGGTGCTGGACCTGCGATCCGAGAGCATGTCAGTATTCCTCTTTTTCAATATCAGTTTACATTCATTCAGTTCAATTTGTTCTTCGAATATCGACTCAAATAATTTAAACAACAATAGTATCCGCTCAGTTCATTTGAATATTATCACTTTCAGATCGCGATCCCAGGCCTAGCAAGCGGTGTTCTCTTCGAAAACCTTTGGAGCAAATATTTGGGTGTTGGAGAACTTTTATCAAAGGTTATTTTATTTGATTTCTTCGAATCGGTGATCTGCAATTTCCATTGTGATCTGAAAAACTATGATTCGTCAGTGTGATTGATAGATAAGAACGTCAAAATTCTACGAAAATTCGTTTATGTTAATTGATTAAGCGGAAAAATTACCCTCTTCATGCATATTGATTTCTTGTATGCTCGTCGTTATAGTTTCCATCGATAAGCTAACCACGTTATCTCTTGCAATATTGACTCGTGTTTTGGTAGATGTAAGGGGTGCGATTTCGTGAGTAAAATGTTGATGTTGCTTAGGAGAAACTACCACGTGAGAGGACGGATCGTGCTCACGTTCAAGGTTACTATATATTCGCAGAACAAGCAACATCATTCATGATTTTGATCGGTGTCTTCTTCCCATCTGCTACAGGTGAATTCATTTCATCATAATCATCTAGCCAAGTGGCAATATTTCTGTGCGATAATCGCCTCCTCACCCGATTGCTTGCTCCTTATTGCAACGAGAGATTTAAAAGTGGACAATGAATAAATTAATGAATGAATCATTCATTTACATAGACATCCAGTTAGGGGAGTATTCTTCAATCTAACAAGGTCAAAAAGCTGCCGTTACAAACGTATTAGATGAATGTATTGAGCAGAACGGTTAATTAGAACAAGTACAGTAAACATTCGTTAATTAAAGCTTTTATTAATGTTGGATTTCAGTGACAGAATTGAGCATCTTCAGACATACATTAAGTGGAATGAAAATAATCTCAGCTCTTAGATCATAGCCGACCCATTATGGAAAGTGGCATTGTTGTAGTGCCGCAAGTAGCTAACAATGTAACCGTTTCATCAGAGTCTAAAGTAAATAAACACTCATCATTCAATACGAGTAGTGGATTTGAACATGAGTACGATATTCGTATTCTGAAGGGTCCATAAACCAATATTTAATCGAAGAATTCAATCGGCGAAAATGGATTGACTCATGATGAATTTTGAACAAATCTACTTTATAGGAACTATGCATTTAATTCCCTAAGAAATTCACTTTATATCTAAATGCACATCTATTTTGAGGGAAACATTCACAAATGTTAAGCCTGATGGAAGATGATTATATTATCCGAATCAGTTCCCGGATATAAACCTACTAATCGGTATTGTTCAGGTATAATGGCTGGCTCAAATCGTTCCGGTAATCTGCGTGATGCGTCCCGTTCAATCCCACTCGGAACTCTTGGTGCACAAATTACAACGAGTATTGTTTGTAAGTGATTTTTCACTTGGTTATCCTCCGTGGGGATTTACACCCTGATCTAGTGCATTCTCGTTGGTGGATTTTTTCCCAATTGCTTGGATGTTTAGTCCTGATTCGCTGCCACAATTTGATTGAAGGAATATGCTCTCTCTAATGCAATACTTATTTCCTTTGTTAACAAAATTGTCAGCTATGTCGTCAAGCGTTCATCATCACAGTTTGTCATATATTTGAATTAGGTGAATGTATTGGTAGTAAGTAATGAAGTATGATACACTAGGCTTTATATGAACTGTGGCTCGAGGTCTTTGATGAATGCAGAAGAATTGTTTCAATGTTGCAGATCTGTTCGGTGTTGTACTCTTCGGTGCATCTGTTTCGGAGATGTTCAT